TGGAATAAAAGTTATAAAACTGAATAAATTTTCTATTTTAATTTAATAATACTTTTTTATTGCTTAAATAAAACATATGTTGTTGCATGAATGTGATCAAATAATGTAAATAAGCCAGATTATTTCATATTTTTAATGCAATAATCTTTAGAAATACGTTTAAATTATACTTTTAAGTCCTGCATAGATAACTTATCAATAATGTGAATATAACAAAAATTATTAACTATCTCTTGAGAGATAGTGAATAATCGATATTACATAAACTAATGTAATGTGTGAAGCAAATCTAGTATAAAGTATGGAAATTTTGTTTTTAGCAGATTTACAAATTTCCCTGACCAGGTGTAGGATAACGTAGGAATAAGGAGTAAATTTGAAGAGATTTGAGCAAAAAAATATTTTTAGGGAAATTGTATTGCGTTCTGGCAGTATTTACTTATCAAAATATTCAATCAATTTTTAAAATATTGAAAATTATCTATTTTAATTCAGCAGAAAGAAACTTAGCTCTTCGATTAAACAAAATTGGAGTAATAAGTCCCTCACAATTCACTTAAGCCTCTATATGTTTTTTTTGTCTTACAAATCAAAAAGTCAACATTCTTCGCCAATATATATTTCACATTAAATTACCTTTCCAATTTCTCATCTGACAGTAAGGTATTATATTCTCAAAACTTTGCATCATTCTTTTCCAAACAAAGATGATTATTTTTTATTTTCTTTCTCTATTTTACGAACCCATCTTCAACTCGTGAATGATTATTTCCTGGTACAGGATAACTCGTCTTCCTTGTCTGCGATAAGAACTGTCAACATAGACTTAGAAAGTCATCTATCAACCGCCAGTTCTCGATGTCACTTTCCAGGTTAACACAAACGACAAACGACGAATTAATTGATGTTGTTTGGACCCCACGCGCATAAATTTAATAAGGCAGACCAGCATTAATAAGGAAAAGTGAAACAGCCGGAATTTCAAAAGGCCAAGCCGTACACCGGACCTTCTAGTTGTGAATAGTTAGCTTAATTGAATGAGGAAACCGGTTTCTCCTGGGACCTCGAATGCTGGATCAATTTAATTTAGTGCAAGTTTAGTCGACGGCATATTTATCCTTTCGTTTCCTGTTACTTTCATCTTGAAGTTAATTGAAAGTAAACATTGCGGCTTCTGGATTACCTGGTGTTTCCTAAAATAACAATAAAGCTGATTTTAGAAATAGCCAGTTTGAGGAGAACTGAGGATAATGTTTAGAAAAGTGTGGTAAAGTAGATTAAAAGGCAATGATGGTGTTTATGATAGTTTTAATGAAATTATTTGGATTTATGCTTTGTTGAAAACTAATGGTTTGTAGTTTGTCGTAAACATCTAACGATGTTATGAATAACGGGCATTTAATGCAAATATAATCACTATTTGAACCTATATTTTGCGTGTTCAACTTAGTCCAGGCCAGAGATTTTTCATTATTTCTTTCTATTTAAACTAAATAAAATAATTAACCTTTCGTTTCATTCTTAACTTTTGTATTGTGACGGAGTGATACCCTATGGCTATCAGAGGCGAAAATATCGGAATATACCTTTTAAAAATATTTTATTCAGGTTCTCGCAGGTCTCGTTCGAAACTTAGTGTAGTGAACTAACCATAAAAGTAGCCTTTATTAACTCCAAATTACTCCTCACGCAAAGCTGTTAAGCAGGTTGACAATTTTGCGTATTGAATAATTATTTGTCGTTATGAAGCAAACAGATGTTAAATTATCGAAAGATTTTTGTTTTAAAACTAACCCGTAAAGAACGTAAACATTTATAGCACAGTGAGGAAACTGTTATAAAATTTGTAAAATTACTTTTTTTCGAAGATCAAAAAGTTGTTTTGATAGTACTTGATATGACTTGAAATGGATTATAGAGAAAATACGTGAGATTAGAATATAGATGTTATGTTGTTAACTATTATTATATCTAATGCACAGTTTTCAGAATATCGGAACACCCGGAAAAACTTTCATCTAATGATAAGATTATAAGATACAATCTTAATGGTTCAATGGCCTACCTTAAATATGCTGGCTAATAAGTGAAGATGATGTTTTAAGTTACGACGCAATTGTAAGATACACAACTGTTTACACAATTTTTAAGAATTTAAATATGTATGACAAAATACAAATTGTGAAAGAAATTGGTCGAATAGTTGTTGTGAAAATCAAAATTTAACCATACGACTTTTGTTAAAACTTGACTATTTGGAAACTATTGTGTTCATTGCGCTCAAATTTTATTTTCGCATTCAAAAATTACATCATTTAAAAAAATGTAAACATTTGTTTTTTTAACAATTCAGTTTTTTACTATTATGAATTAAAGGAATAAATAATAAAAATAAATATATTCAATATTTCTTTTTCGCATGGAGTTATCTTTTGGGTCAATCAGTTTTATATTTTATTGTAAAAACTTTTTAATTCGCTTAAGTTCTCTAAGTTTACAGTTCACGAGATTGACTAATTATAGTAAAATTAACATTAACCTTCAACCATTCGTCAGGCCAAACTATTGAGGCAAAGCTTCCCTTATGGAGGCTAACTTTTCTCCCATATTTTGAATGATAGGAATCCTAATTCATGGAAAAAAAAGTAGAAAGCGTGAGTAATTTTTATTTCGTGAAAGTCAGCTTTTTAATTTGATTTAACTTGAAATATCGTCTGCGCTAGTTAATCAGCATATTTAAGGTAATGCTTTAAACTATTGAGATTATATCCCTACTTGAAACGTTTTTCAGAATGTACACATTTTTTGCGTATGTGGCAGGACACTTAACTCTAAATAAATGCTTAAACTAAATAAAAATGCCAACAAATCATCAAAATCTAGAAAAAAGTGCACTTATATGAGAGTGTACTAAAACAAAATAAATTCGTAAGCTATCGTTGTTCATGGTTCCAGGAAAAAAAATTTTTTAAGACATATGTTTCTATAAATATCCTAACAAAATATTCACTTGCCTTTGACTATTTGACTAAAAATAGTACATTTCTTTGTCAAACGCGCTAACTTGCTACAGTAAAATATTTCAAACACAGTTCAAACTCATATCACAATGATTTTTTTTTATCATTTTCGTCTTCACGCAAGTGCTACAATAGGGATATCGTATATCGAGGAGCTATTGCTTCTTAGCCGTTTTTCCACTATGGTAAAAATATTGTATAGTGTATGAATTGCATTTTCATATTGTTCAGGAGATTTCTATATAGGTTATATGAAGTTTTTACATACTGTGTTGTTATATGAAAGAAATACCAGTCTATCCTTATCTGAAAATAAAATTTAGGGATAGTTTGATGTAAAAATGTTCTCTTTAGAAAATATATGGCTTATCACTTTATTTTTCTAAGACCATCATATACATTTGAATTTGATGTTAATATAATCAGGATAATAAAACAGTTAAATTGTTTCCTAATGTTTCATGTTTCAACTCTTAAGTAACGATTTATTTTCTATATAGACATGTAAATTATGTATGTAAATAATTAAAAAAAATATTACAAATTATATCAATACAATATTTGCTAAAAATTTAAAAGTACTTATTACTTCGTGAAAGCAAAGAGACAACTAATGGATATAATTTTCGTTGGGAATTTTAAATTGAACATCACATTATACATTCTCTCCTCAGTATTGTAAAATGAGGCTCAAAAATAATGTTTCATTCTAAGAACATTTAATAGTCACTTCTTTTTTGGGTATTTAATTTTTTCAGATCCACTGGGACATATATGTCCAGTAGATATTTTTATAAACATTTATGGGCTACTAAGCCTGAATTTCATACGATCGCAAGTTCCTCTGGTTTTTTGTGGTGATATTAAAATTTTTGAGAAATTGCTTAATCTGATTGGCAAAATATTGTTTTTATAACTTATTTGATCTATTAAAACTATAATTTTCTTTTTTATTGAGAAAAAAAACTAGTCCTGAATGAGTTAAGGTAGAAAAAGATAAAGTTTAAAGTATTACCTAAATAAATTTACTAACTATAAACGAAGAGCACTATTGTTAAATATTCAACAGTATTTTTTTTCAATTATTTATGTTCCATTTCTGTGTACAACTGAAAAAAGTTCTTTTAATGAAATGAAACTCATAAAAATGAGGAAAATAGATATATTTTGCATAAACACACGCATAGATGGGAATAAAAATTTTCAAGCTTGAAATTGCGTTTTCTCAAATCAATGTTCTTTTAAACCACAAGCACGACAAATAAATTCTACTTACTCATATATTTTAACATTGTGTATACACTTAATTTTTTACTGCACATAGTACTTTTTTAATCTCGTTTATATTAGGTTGTTTTTTCATAAATTATATAGATGCTAGGGTTCAAATTTGTCAAAAATTTATAAATCATATCAAAAGAGTTCTGTATTCAATGCATATTACATTACCTATTGATGTGATATTCCAACTTTAAATAAAACGGGGGAAAAGTAAAGACGTTATCGTGCTGTTGAATACAATTCTATTGAAAAACACGATATATAATTTATGAACTCTTTATTTTTCCATTCACAGATGTGTTATTGTAAAAAGATTTTTTTTTAATTTTTTTAAGTATACTATATATTTGAAGCTCCAAAATAATATTTTATGAAAGCGTTCTCATCATTTTCAATTATGTGCAGTTTTTTTAAAAATTGAAGCACAGTATCATTTGTTAGGAATTTTCTTTAAAGAAAACTAATTGTCAGTTGTGCATAATTGGGTACTTGCAACTCGAGAAGAGGTGAACTAATTATGCCTAATCGTGTGATTTAAATCAGATGCAATTGGATACTTTTAAGCGATTTCACGCGGGCGTCGAACCTGATTGGTTTCTGAATCGATAAATGCTACGATGATGTCACTTGCAGGTATCCAATTAATCAGAATAATATTCTAATTTAGAATGAATACATGGATTGTTTTCTCTATTTCAGTCCTTGTATCAATTGGAGTCTGCAACCACATTTCATTTGGGTGGTCTGGAGTCATCCAGTTTAAGTCTGAAATTTCGAGTGAATGAGCAACATTTCCACAAGGGTAACATGAAACTTAAATGCACAGCCACTATATCTAGAGTATACACAATGAGTAACGAGGAACTGGTATTTAGACAGCAAAGCTCAGGTCTTCATATCATGGAAAACATGAGCCGAGGTTAGTATAAACTGTTCAGTTTTCTTTTTTCGGCAAAAGATACGAAAATGACTTAAAACGGAAATTAATATCATACTATGTTTTATAAGAACACAGACAACAAATGTTCTTGCATGATAAAGGGGATAAAGTGAAAGAGGGTGATGACTCACTGCTATTTTCGAATGGTTAAACTAAATTACAAGAATCACAAACTTTCGATTAAGAAAGAACAACTGTGTCGCTGAAATATTAATATGTGCTTTCATCTGATGATACAGATAAAGGCAAAAAAATTTATGTCTAAAGACATGTGTGAATGACGAACTTGTGTCTACTGCGGTAATGAAGCTGGGTTGTTACAAATCCCTATAAATATATCCAATTATGAGTAGAACTCCGATTGGATTTAACTTTTAAAATTACATAGCAGTTTTGAAAATTTTAAAAATTTATTTTCTAAAAGAATATTTTTTAAATTACTTTTAATGCTTAAAATGATTGATAAAGCATCCTTTTAGATACAGAACCAGATTTTCAAATGACTACTAAAAATATCAGATATTTCACAGACGAATTAAATGTGTAGATTATATTCTGCTTTATGACACTTCATTTCTAAAACGATATTATATTGAAAAACTAATTCTTGGTAAATAAACGCAATAGCTTCGGAACTCATCTTCGAAAACCAATGGGTGTTCTTAGCAGAATTTCGTGAATTTCTTGCTTTTTAGATAATGCGTTTTCTCTAAACTAATACATTTACATTTGAAATATTCCTAATAGACAAAACGATAAATGAAAGAAATTTTAAATGATAATCCAATAGATATTCCACTTACTTGCAGATTTTTGAAGCAGAAATATTGGTATTATTCTGCATCATAACTTTTACCAAATCAATGGAAATGTGTCGCGTGAAATATTGGAACAATAAGCTTTTAATTTCACCGGTATTATAAATTAATTGATCAACAAATTAATTAAACAATTAATGCTTGCCAAAAAGCAAAAATATGCATATCTAATCTCTAATAATAAATAAGGTTTTCAGAAAAGGAATGAAACAAAACAGATATTGATTTCACTTAGATTTCTTGCTTTATACACAAAATATTGTCTCCAATTTTACGTTTACACTTTAAATGTTTTTAACAGAATAAAGACAATAAATATAAGCATTTTTAAAGGATAACACAAAAGGTTTTCCACTTATATAAGCCAACTACACTTTTTCCGTAGAACAAAGAAATCCTCCAATATATTTTATACGATTGACATAAGAACGATAAGTTCTCTTTCGTAAATTCTATTACCCTATTCACTGCGTCCTATATTGTATTTTTCCACAACAAATATAGCCCAGCAGCAAAATAAAAGATACCGTATCCTCACGTCCTTCTATGAGAGTAAAGAAGAAGAATGTTTTGAAAGAAACCGTTGAACTATTTTCTTCCGCTTTAGGACTTCAGAGGAGGTAAGAAGGTCTGGGAAATAGGCGAAAATTGTTCTTTGTGTCCATGTACCACGTAAAAGTGGTTAAATCAGGTCGTTGGAAATTCTTGCAACGGTAAAGTGTTCATTGACCAGTTCTGATTAGGGTCATTAATGGCGTGAAGAAAGAAGAAGACCCTGCCGAAACAGGAGTTTTATTACCGCTTTGTTCTATCCATCGGGAGGTCGTGAAATCGCAGTAAAGTGATGTGTTTGTAAATAGGGGTGAGGGACATATTATAAGGGGATTAAAAGAATTGCATGATTTGGTGAATGAGTTGAAGAAAACTATTAAATCAATATACAATAAATATTAAAGGATCTAGTTCAGTGTCTTCCATACTATGTTCATCAAGGTTGTTATTGCTTGTTTTTTATTTGTTTTATAAGGACTCCATTGTTTACATTCTGGGAGGCAAGTTATTGTATATTTTCATATCCGAGAAGTGCCCACGCATTTGCGGATGTACCGTTTTTATTTCAATATAACTCGGGAGGAAATAAGAAAAAAAGACTATGTGTTGCAAGGTTTACTTTACACAGTGCCGTAACTACGAGCTTTAGATCTTCAGAAAGTGCAGATTTCAACGCGTGATCCGTATTCGAGGTACAATCACCATTGTCCCAGTGCGGTATAGTTTGCCTATGGAAATAAGTTCACTCGCCATCCATCGGGATTAGTGTTGGTGACTATGGTTACAACGTTTAAATGTTTCAAGACAGGTTTTTAAGACAGGTTTTGGCTCGGATTGCTGAGAGGTAAATTTCTCTCTATTAATGCTTTATTCCTTGTCTCCATTGCAGTTGATGGACTTACTTCGCGTCGGGGGAGGTTCTTTCTTCAAAAAAACTATCGCTCTTCTTTTCGAAAACGAGTGCTATCTTAAAAAGGCCCTTATAAAAAAAAGAAGATAAAACAGTAATATACTGTGTAAATAGGAACAGTTTACCTAGTTTATTTCTATTTACAAGAATAAGTGATTTCTTAAATGTAGAAACACTGATTAAAAAGAGATTCCCATCTTCTTATTTATCTGGTACATGTTAAAATATGTAAATCGTACCAATATTTATCCTTATCATAATACGGGAAACGGTGGAATAATAATGAACAAAACAAGGGAAAAAATTAAGTGTTTATAGTACCTAGAAATTAAGAATAGAGTTCTGACAAAATTATTGGGCAAATATTATAGCAGACTAAAAGAATGAATCAACTTAAACTGCTTCGTGTGTTTACTTATTAATGAATAATTGTCCCATTTTCTGCGATGGCAAGATTAAAAAATAACGATATATAGATTCGCTAATTATATTAGTACGTCTATGAGAATATTCGAAGAACTGGACAGAAGAGGTGCTCTATTTTAATCTAATTTTTATATATATTACCGAGTAAAACATAATTATAATCATTCATTGACACGTAATGGCACAAAACTCCCAATATTATGAATGAAAATACAATTAAAAAGAGTTTTAAGAAATAATATATTGAATCTGCTCTCATTTTTGGTAATGCAAAATCTTAAACGTTTATGGAAATTAATCAAAAAATGGATGCTGCTTTCGAACTAATGTTACATAAATTTTTGCACCATTTTCATTTTTATTTTTATTAAAAAATGATCTCTATTTTTTGAACCTGTTATTACTGATGACAAGACGTAGGTGTTTTAGTATGACTAGGATCATGGGATAGTACACTTCAGTCTCTCCACTGCCTCTAAAATGCAAGAATGAGTTGGTCAAAAGTTAAAAGTATGATTTGCTTCTCTGATGCATACGAAATTGTGCAAAAACGTTCACACTTCTACATCAAACAATCAATCAGAACCAATAGAGGCTATTGAAGGACTCCAAAAAAAGAGTCATTTGTATTAGACCAAACATCAAGAATAATTGGATCCTGAATTAAGTATATATGCTTTATACAGCAATGCCAATAATTGTGTTTTCTAACAGTACTCACATATATCTTAGCACTGCTTCGAGGAGAGTAAGAAAATATCTTCAATACTGCGTGGTTTTCAAACAGTGTTATCTCGAGGGAAAATGTATTTAATTCTAAGTATAATTGAATTAAAAAATAATTAAAACATCAGTCTTGTTAGTTAATTTACATTTTGATTTGCCTTTACTACAGCAAACATCAGAATGTTCCTTGAATTCTTTGGAAATTGCCATGAGTACATTTGTTCCATATCAAATATCAACTAAAAGGTATAGTTTGATAGACACTGTGGCCATTTTGTACCTGTTATGAGCTGTAGAAAATGGACAACACAGTGACTTGCTTTATACTCTTTAAAAATACTGACCATTGCAATACTTAAAGTTCTGTTGCACTTAGAAAAGTACAAAATCATTAAAAATTCATGATTCTTTATTTATTTAGACCTCTGGAAGAACCAGAAGAGTGGTGCCATTCAATGTGCGCAAATTTTGCTTTCCTAAATGTCATGAAAAGGGGGAAGTTTTGCAAAAGGCTGGGGATGAGAAATTTTTTGGCAATTATGCACTCATTATATAATGGAACAATTCATCGCCTATCTTTTACAGAAGAAATAGTTTGATGAAGCAATTGTCTTTATACTGCTAAAATTGTAAATACTTTTCAAAATTGAGCCAAAATTTTTGTATCAAAACTTATGTCAGCACTTTCCTACCTATTTCACAGTACCCATTATAAAGTGTTTATTCTTTGAAAGAACTCTCTGGGAAAAAATAAATAAACAGAAAAATGAACTAGTCAAAACCAAAGGCAGATAAAAAGCATTTTGCAAACACAAGGCGAAACATTAAGTTAAACCATGCGTTGCAAATCTCAAACTGCCTTAAATTTTAGTGCTAATTACACAAAAGACAGAGTTAAAATTAAGTTCTAAAAAATGGAGAAAATGCAACACTGGCAAGTAGGAATAACTCAGATTTCGAAAGAATAAAAGAATCAGGTTGCTTAGAAAGTCCCTAAAGGGACAAATTTAACTTAGTTGCAATAAACTTGAAACACGCAGTTTAGAAGAGAAATTTAAATTGAATTAATTGAGAAATTTTCTTTTTGAATATAACATGGGGAATTATTATGTAATTCACTACTGTATAAGTAACTTATCAACTCGTCTTTTTTCAGTCTTTTAATTTTTAGCTAATTAAATTTTTGATTTTAATTGCAGTGAGAAATACAAGCTCAAAGATATTTCACACAAATATGGAACAATATACTGTAATAGCTTACTTGATGCTCAACATTTTGGGACGACTGATGCCTGATTTTTGGACTAGGATTTTGTACCCATTTATTGTACAATGAAAGTGTGATATATCAGTGAATTATTTTTTTGTGAACTGTGATATGACAATCTGTACATCAGGTGTTACAACAGCATTCCTCCTAAGCCCGTCTAATTGTCTGTGTTATATGGCATCATCTGTTCTTGGTTGCTTCATTGAACATATGATCTGACTTTAAAAACGAATTAAATCTTAAAGATATCTTTTACAAAAACTGATATCACAAAAATGAGAAGTATGTAACAGAAATTTTGGAACAAATTATCTGAGTTGGCTATTGATAAACATAACAAAGTCATATAATTCTAAAAACATGTCGTTTATGAGTTAGGGTGCCCCACCATAGTCGAGCACCCCATTCTAGGGAGAATTAGGAGGTTTTTTATAGTGGCCACCCCAATGACCACATCATGGCAGAATAATTTTCAATTTCAATGTTATAAAGGATTACAATTTTAAATATATAATTCCAATAGGTTAGTCAGGTGATTGATGATTTCGATTTTGCTTATTTCAATATTTCATAAAACCCTTTCTATGAATTTAATGTACTTCATGAAGTGTCATTGTGTCGGACACTATATATAGCTTCCTAACTTTCCCAAGACGGGGGTGTATAGCTTTGATAGTCAGAGCATCCTACTACCTTGGCTCGAATACCACTATCAGCCGGCAATACTTTCACAGAATTATCCATTCATATCACTTTCTAGACCATGCATTTTTCTCAAAAATAAGCATATATTATTTCAAAGTGAAATGTATTCTGCAAAGTAAAATGCATGACTTCTTAGTCGACTAAAAGCTATCTCAATTTTTCTCACATGAAGTGTAAAACACGTGTTTATTTTAGAGTATATGCATATTGATATTTCAAATTTCTGTACTGCCAGGTTGTCATGCTTTAAAACATTTAAATAGTAAACTATTTTAAATACACAAGTGGGCGATCTTTGTGCTAAAATACGAACTAAGGTAGACAACGTTAAAGAGCACAAAAATATTATTAAAAGCAGACAGCTGTTTCGGATGCTCAAAGGGCAACCTTCATCAGTGCAACAGAAAACAATAAGAGAACTGAGTAAATATATATAGAAAGATGACGTCACAAGAGGGTTTAGACCAACGGCCAATAGGAGGGAAGGGTGAATGGAAGACGACGAATAGGAAGCAAGGAACAAACCCCCCCTTTTTTTGTTTCTTGCTTCCTATTCGTCGTCTTCCATTCACCCTTCCCTCCTATTGGCCGTTGGTCTAAACCCTCTTGTGACGTCATCTTTCTATATATATTTACTCTGTTCTCTTATTGTTTTCTGTTGCACTGATGAAGGTTGCCCTTTGAGCATCCGAAACAGCTGTCTGCTTTTAATAATATTTTTGTGCTCTTTAAAGTTGTCTACCTTAGTTCGTAGTAAACTATTTTCAAATTTTTTTTCTCGTTTTTCATTCATTTTTAAATTTAATCGAGCAATACTATAAACATTTTATTAAAAAAAAACTTTTAATAAAATCAAAACAAACTATTTTGAGTGTAACGTTACATATTGCGTTAACCTTTTTTTAGAAATTGATATTTATAAGTTATTAGTAAAAACAGTTAGTGTAAACAGGCTGATTGTGGCAAAAATGAAAAGCGTGCCAAATTAACACACATGAACCAACTATAATCATTTTTTACAAACCACATAGCTGTATGATGAGCATCAGTGCTAACAATTGAATGTATCTCTCTGTCAACAAAAATGTTCTCTGCCTAAATGTTGAAGAAAATAAAAATAAAGAAATAAGTGTACAAAATAAAATAATTATTTCGCATTCATTACATAATTTAAAAAGTGGAATGAAGTTAGTTTTAAAGCTTATTAATGCAATTTTAAAGAAAAAGGACTGAATTATAAGTAACATTAGCTAATAAGTTTTAAAATAATTTGAAATTGGAGTTTCATTTTGTAAATGACTTGTTTTGAAATCGTAAAAGATTAGAGGAAAAATAACTAATTACAATGCAAATTAAAGTTTATCTCTGCAATAATTTATTGATTCATTATCTTGAAAAAAATACTACTATATTAAAAGGAGAGACTTTATTGTTTTAAATGAACTTAAATTTAAATAAAGTATGATTTAAAGTCTGAATTGATTAAACTTTTATGTTTAATAAAGTATAATGATTTTTTAAATTTTTTATTTAATAGAGTATCATTTAGTATTAAAAAAATCTTTTAAGTTACCAACTTGAATAAACTTTGAAACAACACCGTTAATTTAATTGATTATATTTTTTCAAATAGAAACATTTGAATTACGTAAAATATGAACTGATAATGTTATTTACATTAAATCTATATAAATGTGCAATAAATGGAAATATGTTCAAAGATTTATTGAAATATTGTTCAATGTATGATCTTGTTGTGAAATGTAAGTTTGTTAATAAATAAGCAATGGCTTTAATAAAAATTTTGGTGTTATTTACTCTAATATAGAATAAGTCTATTAGAATCAAACAGTCATAATGTATGTTCTATTAACAATGATTATATCAGTATCATAGAAGCATACAATATATAATAATATTGAAATATGCTATACGTATAATGGTATTAAAGCATACACACTATACAATGCTTTTGAGACATACTTAACGCAATAAAATTAAAAGATGATTTCAATAGCAATTAATATTTGTAAGTGACTTATTAAGACTATCAAGACAGGGGATTGCGAATAAAATATCTTTAAGCATTTCTCATTGACATTATACATTTTACCCTAACTTCATCCATATCATAGCACATTTCTCTCTTAAACAATACCTATTTAAAGTAACTAAACAAATTAGATAAAGTTCTATACAACCTTCGTTAGATTTTAAATTGATTGTAGAAAAAATTTGGAATTAATATATAAAAGCTTTATAAGATTTTGAGCATTAACTTTTGAAGCACTATAACTTGCTTGGGTTTTAAGGGTTAAATCAAACTGTTAACTTGTTTGATTTCTGGTAATTTACTACGAATTTGAACTCATGCAAATTCTAACTATTTTCCTGTATGAATTTTCTAGTCACGTGTTCTTTGTTGGCACTGTCGGATTGGCTGTCTTTTATGCCATTGTTGTAGAGTAATGTGTTTAATTTTGACGGTCGATTATGGAACTAGGGTGTATATGCAGCAAGGCACACTTTAAATCTGGTGCAGCTAAAAGTTCTGTCCTTATAGTTTGGTGTGAAAGCTTAAAGGTATATCAGTTCAGAGATTGCTCACGTCGTTTGCAGATTGTACCATGAGAAGAAATGATTTGATCACTGCGTATTATTCTGTTTATTTTGATTAAAATCGTAATCATGATGTTATGGGAACGAAAAGTTTCGTAATGTCGCCTATTAAGAAGATATTGGTTTCAAACTTTTCAATAATTCCTTGTCGTTATCAAAATTATCTTTATTAAATTAGCTTTCATAGCGAAAGTAAACTAAAAACAGAAAAATAAAATAATCCTAATTAATTATTTTTCTGTTAAAATAAATACTGCAGATTGCATGCACTTTATTTAAAAAAAAATTGTCAAGATTTTTATATCAAAATTACCTGATGAATAAGAAAGGCATAAAAGTCGATATCAAAATTAATTAAAAAATTGAATTAATTAATAAATTTGATTAAAAATTGATAACGAAATCAGTGATAGAATAAGTGATCAGTGAAGAAATTATGAATAAGAATTAGTATTGCTTAATCAAAATTACCTGATGAATAAGAAAGGCATAAAAGTCGATATCAAAATTAACTAGGGATTCGAAGTAGAATTTGATTAAAAATTGATAACGAAATCAGTGATAGAATAAGTGATCAGTGAAGAAATTATGAATAAGAATTAGTATTGCGTAATCAATGAGTAATGAGAAGAGTAATCAATGAGTAGTATTCAATCAAGAGTTAGTATTGAAATCAAGGAACAAAAATATATTATGAATATAACTCATCCAATGATTTAGAATAGAGTTCGAATAAGAGTCGTTATCGAAATGAAGTGAATTATATTTATGATTAAAATCCTCAAGTAAAAGCTTAACTAAATACAGACTTTTCTGATTAAGTATGTTTCTGTTATTTTAAAAAACTTACTAGTTAAATTCGAAGTTAAATGTGAAATATATATTAAACTATTAGTAGTAGTTAGCATAAATTTTTCTTCCCTCATTTTAAAACTTAAACTCTGTTATATATTTCTAAATACAGTTTTAACTAATTCATCGACGTAATAAATAGTCTTAATTCAAGCATATGTTAGACATTCTAAAATAAATAATTTACAAAAGCAATACAATCTACATAAAAAGAGACCCAAATGAAATAGAACAATGAATTCCTTCTCCGACTTACTACGAAATGAAACTAAAACTTCCAACAAACTATCACCCATTCACTTTTCCAAACAACAATTAATTAAAACCGAGGGAAAACAAGATTAGTTGGAAGTTATATATATACTGGAAGAATACCTCTATAGTTCTAGCATTTTCCCTTTGATTAATCCAGGAACAATGTTGAAAATATATAATTAATTAAGTATATTTGGATCGAGATACGGAATAGAAATCTATACGATTCGGAATTTCGACAAACTTTTTTGTTGCTTTTTAACTCTGATACTGCGCTCACCCTGATTAATACGAAAGATGCAAACTGAAAGCAAATTAGGTTGACTAAGTTTACTCTAGTTGAAAGGAATTGAGTGGCTTTAATTAAATACTTCATCGAAGATTTCATTCGGTGAGTTTAGGTAATGCATTTTTTTTCTTAAATTATCAGCATTAAGTCAGTATTAAAAGATAAAATCGAAAGATTTATTTATTATCGTATGTTGGTTATGTTTATCGGAAATTTGAATAAAATGTTTGTTTCAAATTTATTACGATTTGGTAAAACATTTGAAGCGTATTTGAGACGGAAATGTTTAAAAAAATATGGATTTAAGTAATGGTTATTGTTAAAATAGCTTTAGATCAATAATTTGTGAATGGAATAAATGGATGAAAAGCCTTTTGTAACTAAAAGCATTTTTAGTAACATATATAGCTAGATATATTATATATTGTTATAACAGATTTATCAGTTAAATTTATCATGCGAAATGTTGTATATATTTTGTTTCAAATAATACAACAATAGATATAGGCAAAAGTAGACGTAAACAAAAATGTGAATTTTTTTTCTTAATTAAACTAACCAGCTTTGAGTTTATCAATCATTCGCAGAAATCATTTCATATAGCTTGGGCCAATATAATGATAAGCTCGCTTACGACAATATATTGATAGGCTAAACTTTTTCATAGCGAAGTTATTTACATCAAACTCTTCCTTAATCTCATTTCTAGATTGATTTATTATAGGTTATATAATTTCTACTAGATTCTTTCTTTATAGATCTTCCTTATTTCCACTAGAATGCAACACAATACCCAAGAGAAGCTTATTGACTCCATAGAAATTGTCTTTTTCATCAAAAAAGTTCGTTGAAAAGATAAATTTTTAAACAATTTGAAACTGAGGGTTATTATTATATTTTCTCAAGTTCTTCAATTCGTTTTTCTAAAACTTAAACATTCTGCATGAGTGCACTCAGTCTCGTTCTCTCCTTTGACAAATATTTTAAATTATCCTCAACTATATTAAGGTTTCAAACATGCGGGGTAACACTTGCTTTTTATATTGAAAACAGTATGACTAAAATTATGAACTATATTTTAAAAACTTTTTTAAGCCGTTATAGCATGGTTGGCATGGTTGGCTGGACTCACGCTCATGAGAGTTGGAGTTCGAATCCAGTCGGCAAAAGACTCCCCGTGTAGTAAATGGAGTCTGGGACACATTAAATCTGTCGGGTCACAATGCTCTCTCACTCTCATAACAAATTATACCTCAGTTGATACTGAATTGGAGATTTATCATTATCTGATTCAGGTCAAAATTACGATCTGCGGAT